TAGTGGAAAAGTAACGATTCATTGCAGCTGCAGCATGGGTAAACAAAGGCTGATGCAGAGCCGTAAACCTAAAAGACTTTCTCATCATCGACCTCGCAGATTAACTGAACATATTGGGATGGGTTGGAAGAGGCGCTGCTGTTTTTTTAAAAACCAACCAAGCCATAACTTTGGAGTGACCACTAACAAGCAATGCCATTTAAACACATCCTTCAAAGTAGGGCTGCACGATAAATCGCATGCGATATTTAAAGCGCATCTTGTCAGAAAGCCGGTTCTGTAATCAGCGGTAAATCTCCATCACCTGCGTGCTTTCACATTGAGCAGCATTAACTACACAGAGCCGTTGTTCACTGAGGAGCTGCACAAAACCACGTTCATATTCGCGCGATTTTTTGTGCAGCTCGTCAGTGAACAACGGCTCTGTGTAGTTAATGCTGCTCAATGTGAAAGCACGCAGGTGATGGAGATTTACCGCTGATTACAGAACCGGTTTTACTGATAAGATGCGTGTTAAATATCGCATGCGATTTATCGTGCAGCCCTACTTCAAAGCAATATCTAACCAAAATGGACAAAAGCCAGTATAGAGTTGATGTATAATAGGTATCACAATGAGATCATAGGGGTAACAGTGGCTAACTAGGCCTAGTTATCCAACCAATTCTATCCCTGTAGTCATATAAAAATCTGTATTCATATAAAAATCTGTATTCATTATTTTTTTACTTTATTGATAAGATTTACTTATAAAAATGTTTTTTAAAAACTCTCTCATTTGTCCAAGAAATGATTTACTTATTATTTATAAACAGGGACATTGCACAACCAATGCTGACAATCTCTGAACATCAAATATCAGCCAATTAATCAGCTTGGTCAATATATAGATCACTAATGTTCACACGTCATGATGTCTCTCATTGGATCAGCCTCTGAAACTTTCACTCTCCTCAAACAATCAATATCACTCTGTCTGCTCAAAGCACCAGATGTGTGAAAACACCAAACCGCTGCTAATGAAACCAAGTGAAGGTTTTCTCATTCCATCTCTTTTTGCCAAATAACAGATGCTTGGGTTGTGAAGACTCCACTATTTCGCTTGTCAGCAGAAGCACATGCTGCTGCAGAATTAGAAATGAACAGTCAAAGAGTGAGATCAAGAATACAGAGAATGAAAACCAGAATATAGTATGAAACTGATCAAAAGCAACGGTCTGTTTTGGGCCTTACGTGCTGTGAAACTGGATGAACGCAGTGATTACTGACATTCAAGCAGGGAAATATGAGGAACTCGGCCGAAATATGTTGAGAAGGAAAATGTTAGTAGGCTTTTGCACCCTCCCCCCAAAACACCATCAGCACTTCAAACAGAATTCAACAGTGACCTACATACATATGCGTCAAGTTACTATTAAAATCAACGAATCTACAAAAATTGCCTGCTCTAATCCATTTTGCACAATACGGTTTCTCTGCCATCTCTAAATTACAGGAACTAATGGAAATGTCCATCTTTAAATCTTCATTAAAACAATCTCTCCAAATGCTTCTGGTTCTTTTTCCATTGTTAAAAATACATCAGGCACAGCACATAAAGAGGGGCAAAGCATCTTCCTGGCTTTTCTTTTTTTTTTTTTTTACAACTGATGCCAATTAGAGCAGTCAATCATTTTGTTTCCCACAGCTTCAGAAAGCTCTTATACACATAGTCACTTTTCAAATGCTTGACAGGCTCACTTCCCATGTCTGAAGGATTATAGCTACATTATCTAATCCTTCCAAACAGCCGTGGTAAAAAAACAGTTGTACATTTCCTGCCAATCCTTGGAAACGTCAAGCCCAGTCTTCCATCTCTTAGCTCTTACCTGAGCCATAAGTGAGCCTTTGAGTTGGTTTCATTTGTGATTCCTTTATAAAAAATCTGAATGGAGAACCCAAGGTATTGAGATGTGCAGAAAAGAGTCAGATCGTTGAGATACTGTTTGCCTGAAGCCTATGTATTCATTGGATTTTAATAGCTTATAGCACCAACTCCAGGGCACTGAGAATAAGAACATGATTTTGATGGAAAAACTATGTTCCGCATCAAGCTGATGTTAATCAATGATAATCCAGTTAGAAATGTACGCAGCTTTGATGTGTCTCTCTCTGACTTCTCCAGTTTCAGATTTTCTCCTCATATCTGGTTGCCTCAGCACAGAAATAGATCACCAAGCAATTACTGCTTCCTCTTCTGCCACTAATTCATGACAGATTATTTAGCCAAATCAGCGATGTTTCACTAGGCAAGGCAAGGCATTTTTCAGTGTGCGCCTCGCAATTCCTGAGAGAAGAAATCATTCCTATTATTGTTTCTTTCCAGATCCTGTCATCTCAAGATATTTGAGCAAACTGATCCACAAGCATTTTTTCGTTCAGAAATGGCAGAGTAATAGGGATTTGCTTGTGGGGGAGGCTGGGGGTTCAAATTGGCAAGAGAAAGTGATATGACACAGCATCCAGAGAGAGGAGCTGGAGGAGGAACAATAGTCAAAATGAATATCAGGTTTATAGATTTACATTTACTTTATAAACTGAAACGGTCTCTCTTAGCATGAAAGCATCAATGTGTTGGGAATAACATTTCTCAGGGATGTGAATGCAATTATTATTCAATTCTGCAGTTCATCTGTAAAAGACACTAAATAAAAATGATGTAAATTTAACAACTTAACTAAGGCTGATAAAAAAATGGCAACAGTTACTATTGACAACCAGGTTATCCATTAAGGGACCAATGAATTTCCATCACTTTTCCAGCCATTTGTGATTAGTGGAATAGATTTTTAAAATCTTTTTTATAAAGATGGCAGCTCACATTGAAAATGAATGATGTATGAAATATTAATTTAGTGATTATTTTAATTATGCTAGATTTTTTTTTTCATATAGCCTAACTTTTTTTTTAATGATATTGCAACCCTCTAGTGGGCCCTGGCTCCCTTTGTTGAAAACCAGTGAGCTAAGCATAGCTATAAAAATTTATATTTGGTAATTGTAATGATTTTTTTAATGACTTAATAAGATTTAATTAATTTCCATTACTTTTGGCATGGAAATCACTATTTTTAAAATTCTCTAAAACGTCCTTATTTACTTGTATTCCATGATCATAGCATAGGTACTGGAGCAAATTACAACCATTAAAACTAACACAACTCTACTAAAATACACTTTCTACTTAAATCACAACAATGTAAAATCATAACCATATATACAAACATTTATTGAACTAAACAAACAAACAAACAGCTAAGATGGCTCGCTGGTCTTAGCTGGTTTAAGATGGTCTCCAGGCTGATTACCTGAAAAGCTGACCAAACCCCCTTTAAAACCAGCCAAAATCCAGGCTGGGACACTAGCTAAAACCATCATACCAGCTTAGGCTAGTTTGAACTGTTTTAGCTATATTTCCATCCAAAACTTACATTTAAAGGGGTCATATGATGCGATTTCAAGTTTTCCTTTCTCTTTGGAGTTTTACAAGCTGATTGTGCATAGATAAGATCTCTGAAGTTGCAAAGACTAAAGTCTCAAAACCAAAGAGATATTCTTTATCAAAGTTAAGACTCTGCCACTCCCCCCTAAAATGGCTCGTTCTAACACGCCCCCACATATCTACCTCACTATGTGGAAATATTTGCATAATGCCGCCCAAATGTGCACACAAAGAAATAAGGCATGGTTTCAGTAACCACAGTTAGTGTTGATGCAGCCATGTCAGAGAGACGCTGTGTGTTGAAAAATAATGTGTTTTTTGAACATTAAAGCATGTCAACATATTCTGTTACACCAAATACACAAAATAATGATATTTAAAAAAGCATCATATGACCCCTTTAAACACCCTAAACCAGGTTCATGCTCTGTTTAGCGATATTTATGTCACAATGACCTACTTGAATGAAAACTCTCATAGATGAGAAACTCACTGGCTCTCATTAAAGGAGCTTTTCCCCACACTTAACAGCAACAGGCAGGGCTCATCAGTTGCTCAACTCAAAGTGCCAGTGACCGGGCAAATGCACAATAGAGCAGGCACACATAACGGCGTGAATAACGTGATAGCGAGCTTCACTAATGAAGTGAATCATTCAATTCGTCTTTCAGTTAAACACAGCTTCGTTTTGCCTCATCAGACAGATGTTTCTATGGGAACGGAATCCCTCCAGTGAGAAAAAAAAACACGCGTTGCGTACACACACAGGAAACAAGCGCGGTGTATTGTTACAATTACTTCATGAAATACTACATTGCTACTCAGAATACGAGAAAACATTCTCTAAGCCTTCAGACTAACACTTTAAAACGGTTACCACAGCGCAGTATGAACAACATTAATGAGGTTACAGCCATAACCGAACTGTCACCGAGCATCACACCTTTACTTCAGTCACGCTCAGTAGGAGCCAAGGCACAACAGTTTTCGGTCAGATAAAATTCAAAACGGCTTTAAACGTGTTGCTTAAGTCCCTGACCTACTGTAAAACATCTATGTCAGCCAACCTGACATGTTTCAAAAATCAATAGCTTGAACACAGCACCACACCAGCTCGCACAGAGACACGCAGGGCAAAAGAAAACGCCCTGCCTTGTCTATACGTACAACCTACACAAGCTGACTGAAGGGAATAATACAGAAAAACAGCACAAACGTCACATAAATAACATATTTAATAGCAAAACCCAGTTTGAGTTAGTATCTATTGACAATATCGCTTCTCACACAGGCGACTGACTGACCGACCGATCGCACATCTATCATTCCGTTTGGACACATTGCCACATGTGGAGAAGAGCTAGCATTGTTTCTCACATAGTCAAATAAATAGCGTTTTTCTTCGGTAATACGACTGCGTTTGCACCACTTGCACTCATACATATACACTGTAACCTATCCAACAAGAAACACAATGGTAGCCGTGTAGGAAAGCACATTAGCGACACAATTCACTTACCTTTAACTTGCGTTTCATATTCAGCTATAATCTCCTTGTCCTTTCGGAATTTAGCCGGAGACGTCATATTGATCTAAACGAAATAAGTCCTGTCACAGCGAGAAACACCGCGGAACAAACGCCTCTTCGCCCACAGATATCCAGCGATTTTGTAGGAATGGAAAGGAGTGGATGGGTATTGTCTCCTGCCAATGATCAATCACGCCGCATTATTAGCTGGAGCTGCCGTTGGCTTCCTAGGTCGAATATGTCCGTGACAGCACGTGAGGAATGAAGCAAACAAGAAGAGTTTCATCCCACCGTTCACTCACACTGGATACGAGCGACCAGACGCAGCGCCTTCAAAAGTTCCAGCCTTCCTCCAGCGGTCAGACGCGTGAGTGAGGCTAGTCTTCTCGGGGCAGGATGAAGGCATGGATTCCCAGCATCACACTGCGCACAAACAATCGGGGCAGAGAAAAGTTCACTGGATCAGATTTCTAAAGGCTACTTCCTTCCAGTAAACTTCCTCAAACTATTTTCACTTTCTTTCATTTGTTTAAAACAGACGTTCAACCTCATCAAAGCACCTCTTTACAATGTTTAGGTATGAAAAATATAATATGACGCCTAATGTGGACACAAAAACTGATATTATTCTGGTATTTGACAATATTTAGTACTCCGTGATAAAAACAAGCATAACACTCAGTGTCTACTGCATGAAAAACTGGTTTATGAAAACATTAATAATGCACGTGCAATATACTGATTAGTCAGTTTTTGTCATTTGCATGAGTAAGTAGTGGTAAATTGTATTGAGATTATTTTCTGACATTTCTAACATTCCTCAAAGATACTTGATACATAACAATATGGCTTCAATTCAAAAACACATAATTTCAACCCAAAGTGTGGAGAATCATTCTGACATGCTGCCAGTTATGATTTTATATCTAAGATGATCAAAGAAAATTAAAATGTCCAATCCTGACAACATAACTGTTGCCATAGGATAAGAAACCCCTAAAACAAATGTATCCAGTATATTGGACACATAGAAAAGATGAGGTTAAAGAGTACTTTAACGCTGTCATAAATTGTAAAACGCGTTTAAATAGAGGCTGCCAATCTTGAAGACTGCAGGGTCGTTGGGGACTATAAATCACCAGTCCTAAAATGAAAAGAGGCTATGAGCAACAAGAGGGAGTTTGTCGAGTAACGTGATGTGAAAAGCAGAGGCCCCTGGTGACTCTGAATAGTTCAGGGCTCTCTTTATGAAGATTCCTGCATTTCATCCGGACGATTGCGGAGGTTTCTCGTGCCTAACGCACCCCATCATATACTGTTCAATTGAATCTATCAGCCACTTACCTTAAAAGGCGATTTCCATGTCTAAAATCGAGTTTCATTTACCAGATTCCTCCCTCAAGACTCACTGTTACGCTTTTCTCTGAATATTCCCAAACTCAAACCCCGCCTCTTTTCATGGAAGAGAAAGAACAACCCCCCTTCTATTGTCATTGGTCACAATGGTCACAGCACACGAACACGACATGAATCTATCAAATTGCCAAAAGATAGATTTCTGAGGCATTAATACTATTTTAGGCCTATCTCATAAGACCATTGCATGCCGGATATTTTAAAGGCTTTTTTTAAATCACTTTAAACATTCACAAACTGCGATTTTAAATCCTTTTTTACTGTTGGTTTATTTTTTCCTTTCAATTTATGTCGTCCTTGTCTTCATAATAAAAATGTAATAATCATCAGAAATGATTTTTGTCGATGCATTTTTTCTTGCAGTTGTCTTTTTTTGTAGCGATGTCTGATTCGTGAATGAATCATTGCGAGTCGGATCTTTTCAATGAATCAGTTGAATCGGTTCACAGACCCGGTCTGAACAATTATTCGCTTATAACAAGTTAAGTGAAAATTATGTTTTGCTTAAAAGGAGATGAGAATTTGTACGCTCGTCGGATGTGAGAAAAAAAAACTTTTCATAAGATGCACTTGTGTATCCTCGCTCAAAGCTAAATGTATTAATGAATAATTTTTGTTTGAGGTTTTAGTCACTTTGTGATTTTATGAGCAGACTTGCTGCAACACACTGAACTGGAACGCATGGCATCACAATAAACATCCTTAATAATAATATTTAACCAAAATAAACGTAATATACAACAATATGTGCCTACAAATGGCATTTTTGGGACATGCAATCTACCACAATGGGATGTCACGGACCACGTGATGATGATAGAATCACAGAACCGCTTTTGAACCAGTTTTTTTCAACAACTCGTTCAAAAGAACCGATTTGGAGAATCGAGTCGGACTTCCCCTCCCTAGTGGTTTTGTGGTTTGCGGAAAGTCACTGCAACCAATCACCCAAGAAATGTGAGCTGACCAATCATGTGTGAGGTATGGTAATTTGGAACCAATCAACGTTAGAGATCGGACTGTTTGAAAATCATTCAGGAAGTGTATATCCGCTTTGACGCGGACGTAAACAAACGTAGCTAAGCAATCTAAGCCTTGCTGTAACTATTGAGAGATTGTACCATAGTACAATGTGTTTCTCTGCCGCCTAGATCTAGCACGATCGGATATCCAGTAACGTTACCAGGTAAGAATGGTTTTATGGCATGCTTAGTAAAAATAAATAAATAATAATAGTCCATATTTTAGTTAGCTAGCTAGCTGTCTAATAATAAGAAAAGTACAGCCTTTCCATATTCTAACAGAAGTGTAAAACGAGCAGGAATTACTGCGATTTATATCCACAATGTTAATTTGAGGGGCTTTTCCGTTTTTGTGATCAACAGACTCTAACTTGGAGTTACTGCAAACGTAATATAGGTGCAAACAGGCTAGAGCTAGCTAGCTAGACAGGTGCAGGTCGTCTCAGCCAGACTGTTAAACGTCTGCTGTGTCCTTCACTGTAGGTGCTGACTCTTTGTTATCGTTTTAAAACAACAGGAGCTTTATTTGAGAAGATCTCAACTCAACAATGTCTACTTCAAATTTCAAGAATAAGTGTGTGACGCAAGTCAACTGTATATACTGTGACAGTCTGCTGTGTATGAGAGGGATGAAAGCAGTACTTTTGGCTGACACGGAAATAGAGTTGTTCTCAACCGACGTGCCACCAAATAGGTGAGGCTTCCGTGATCAGATTTCACAGATATAATCATGATCATCATATTCTTTATGTTTAATGCCTAATATGAACATAAACGAGTCTGTGTTGTTTTCCCCATATAGGGCAGTTGATTTTGTGGCCAGCTGCTATTCCACTGAAAGCTGCAAATGCAAATTAAGAGACATTGCTTGTTTAAAATGGTAAAGAGGTCTTTATAATTACTGTCACTACTATCACCTAGTTTTTACTCATAATGTTTGGAATCAGAAAAAATATGTATAACAAATATTATAATATACACTATTGTTCAAAAATTGGGGGTAAGATTTTTTTTATTAATATTTTTGTTCAGCAAGGATGCATTAATTGTATCAAAAGTCACAAAGTTATATATTATAAAATATTTCTATTTCATGTAAATAGAATTTTACCTTCTATTCATCAGAAAAATTCCTGAAAAAAGTGTTTCCACAAAAAAAAAAATAGGCAGCACAAAAGTTTTCAACTTTGATAATAATAAGAAATGTTTATTGACCAATAAATCAGTATATTAGAATAATTTCGGAAACTTAAGATTGGAATAATGACTTCTGAAAATTCAGCTTTACCATTTCACATTAAAAATATTACCAACCTTAAACTTTTGAATGGTAGTATATTATCCTTTTTTTATTTACACTGCAGCATTTAGACTCGTAGGCTGGCATCAAATGTGTTTTGGTAATGTCCAGTCCATTGTTAACACTGAGCCATTTGCTGTTCCGTTTCATTGTGTCTCACAAAGCATTTGAATCAGGTGTTTTTGACTGTCTCTCTGGCTCTTTCTGCCCATTCAGTGGGAATGTTGTGGGATATCACGTGGTGGCCCAAATAAATAATAATAGTCCATATTTTAGTTAGCTAGCTAGCTGTCTAATAATAAGAAAAGTACAGCCTTTCCATATTCTAACAGAAGTGTAAAACGAGCAGGAATTACTGCGATTTATATCCACAATGTTAATTTGAGGGGCTTTTCCGTTTTTGTGATCAACAGACTCTAACTTGGAGTTACTGCAAACGTAATATAGGTGCAAACAGGCTAGAGCTAGCTAGCTAGACAGGTGCAGGTCGTCTCAGCCAGACTGTTAAACGTCTGCTGTGTCCTTCACTGTAGGTGCTGACTCTTTGTTATCGTTTTAAAACAACAGGAGCTTTATTTGAGAAGATCTCAACTCAACAATGTCTACTTCAAATTTCAAGAATAAGTGTGTGACGCAAGTCAACTGTATATACTGTGACAGTCTGCTGTGTATGAGAGGGATGAAAGCAGTACTTTTGGCTGACACGGAAATAGAGTTGTTCTCAACCGACGTGCCACCAAATAGGTGAGGCTTCCGTGATCAGATTTCACAGATATAATCATGATCATCATATTCTTTATGTTTAATGCCTAATATGAACATAAACGAGTCTGTGTTGTTTTCCCCATATAGGGCAGTTGATTTTGTGGCCAGCTGCTATTCCACTGAAAGCTGCAAATGCAAATTAAGAGACATTGCTTGTTTAAAATGGTAAAGAGGTCTTTATAATTACTGTCACTACTATCACCTAGTTTTTACTCATAATGTTTGGAATCAGAAAAAATATGTATAACAAATATTATAATATACACTATTGTTCAAAAATTGGGGGTAAGATTTTTTTTATTAATATTTTTGTTCAGCAAGGATGCATTAATTGTATCAAAAGTCACAAAGTTATATATTATAAAATATTTCTATTTCATGTAAATAGAATTTTACCTTCTATTCATCAGAAAAATTCCTGAAAAAAGTGTTTCCACAAAAAAAAAAATAGGCAGCACAAAAGTTTTCAACTTTGATAATAATAAGAAATGTTTATTGACCAATAAATCAGTATATTAGAATAATTTCGGAAACTTAAGATTGGAATAATGACTTCTGAAAATTCAGCTTTACCATTTCACATTAAAAATATTACCAACCTTAAACTTTTGAATGGTAGTATATTATCCTTTTTTTTATTTACACTGCAGCATTTAGACTCGTAGGCTGGCATCAAATGTGTTTTGGTAATGTCCAGTCCATTGTTAACACTGAGCCATTTGCTGTTCCGTTTCATTGTGTCTCACAAAGCATTTGAATCAGGTGTTTTTGACTGTCTCTCTGGCTCTTTCTGCCCATTCAGTGGGAATGTTGTGGGATATCACGTGGTGGCCCCATGCAAGCCCTGCTTGCTGTCCTGCAACAATGGTCATTTCTGGATGTTCAACAGTGAGGCTGTGTCCACCATCAACAGACTGGATGCAACAGGTTTGAGACGTCTGGTGCAAAAACACTGTCTATGCCCACTGCTTATGTTCAGACAGCTTTTGCGTACCATTGTTTCAGTGATTATCTGCTCATAGCCATCAAAAAAAGATCCTATATAAGCACCCATAGATTGTAACAGACTTTGACATGGAATTTTAAAACTTAAAATGTGTATAATTCTGCTTGAAGAGCAGTAGCATCTAGGTTCTTTCTTCTTACTGACATTCTTCTTTATCATTTTATCATGACTGATTGAAACCCAGACAAAAAGCACCTTCTGTTTTTCACAAGTATGAGCCATTTCTTGTGTACTTAAGAGAAAATTAAGCTTAACTAGACATGCACTACTGTTAAAAAGTTTGGGGCCAGTAAGTGTTTTTTTTTGTTGTTTTTTTTAAGTTGTTCAAAAGTGACAGTAAAGAAATGTGTAGTATTTATGAAAGTTTTAAAAAATGCTGTTCTTTTGAACTTTTCTGCAGAAAATATTAAGCAGTTCCACAAAAATATTAAGCAGCATAACTGTTTTCAACATTGATAATAAGAAATATTTCTTGAGCAGCAAATCAGCATATTGAAGACTGGAGTAATGGCTGTTAACGGTTCTTACAGACCCCAAAACTTTTTAATGGTAGTGTAACAATTGCATTTCGGACATGTGTTAAAAATGCTTCAAACATAAATAATACAAGTCTGTCTCTTTCATAGGGCAGAACCTGCTGCTGTGGGGAGATCTTCCAGAACTGGAGGGCAGTGATGACGAGAGCCTGGACTGTCTCTCAGAAGAAGAGTACCTCAGATAGAAACACACATGTCTAAAGGAAGTAGACTCTGACGGTAGCGAAAAAGTTTACTTTCACTCACATAAATCTCCGTTTAAAGCACATTGTCTTCTCTTTAGCTGACTGGGAATAGGCAAAAGGAAAAAAAAATATTTACCATCCCAGCTTGATTTATATGCATTTTCTTTCTGCATCCTCTCACTTTAGTTTAAGCATTTCAGAGGGCCATTACCAAAAAATTTTTCTGTTTTCTTTGCTTTACGGTTACAGTAGCACAACATGATGATTGGATTTAAAGATTTATGATGTTATCCTCATATGTCTTTATTCAGCATTCACAAATGGTTCAAGACTGTTCAAGAAGATTAACAGCAGTGTTACTCTGGCTCCGGTACGAATGCAGTTTTTGGAAGGCAGCCAAATGGCCACCCAGCTAACAATTTCTTTCCTAGATAGATAGATAGATAGATAAGGATTAACAATCATGCAAAATTGTATGCTGGTTCCACAAGTCTAGGTGGTTTTATAGGACGAAAATGACTGACATTTACCGTGTTTTAATGGTTTACTAGTATATTTGTCAATTTTTAATTGAATGTCACATATTGTCCCCCGAAGATGGATATCAATTGATACATGTATCCTAAACAAGGCATAATCTTGTCTTTCATCTGATTATTTAGATTACTTACATTTTGCTCTTTTCATGGCTTTGACATTTGAAGTGGCACAAAATGATTTGGTAGCTTTGAGTAGAGTAGTTAGGTCTCAGCTCAGTGACATTTGGCATTTGAACAACTTTGATTTTAACATTTTTTTTATGGTACTTTGCTTTGGCACACTCTTTTCAATTAATGAGGTTTCATGATTTATTTTTTTTAATAGTTTAAAATTTGTTCTTTCTGTACTCCAGTTATGTTTCACTATTTGTCACCAGGGCAATCATGAAAAGAAATGACAGAAAAAAATCTGCACTTAATTACTGTAAATTCTACATGACACTCTGTTAGGCCTGTCGCAATAATCAATATATCGACTTATCGCGCAATATATATACATGACCTCAATAATTTTTGGTGACGCAATATATCGCCCATTATATTTACTTAAAAATTCATGTCACCATGTTTTGTACATTCCACTTGTGCCTGTGTCTTTTGCAGCTTCTCATACATAACGTGGTGTAGTCATGAGGTGCTAGTTCAAATTTAAAAAGTGCTTCTACAAAAAAAGTTTCATCTGCAGATATAGCCTTGTTTAGGGATCTGTGCCTTTGTGCATACGGACATCTGACTGCTGAGTAGTGATTGTGTTTCTCAGCAATAGTGTGCACCCTCAATTTACAGAGAAAAGAAGGTCAGGAAAAAATCTGTAGATGGAAAAATCTCCATACAAGTTCTTTGTGTATTTTTCTTTTTTTGTACTTGTTACTTTGCACTTTTTGTTAGAAAATGTTTATTTACTATTTATTCAGGTTTTTTAAGGTATCTTATATTGTGATACTTAATTTCCATGATCTAAATATTCTTAAAAATTAAACGTTTGTTGTCGTTTGGAAGTGTGTAGGCCTTCTTGCATTATTATGCTGTTACATTATGATTATATATTCAGTGGCATAAAATGGTCTTTAATATGACAATAATATCGCTTATCGCAATTATTTCTGGGGCAATATATCGCATAACAAAAAGTTGTTATCGTGACAGGCCTACACTCTGTGACATACTGGACAAAGCTTTTTTTAAACTTTCTGATTTTTTTCCCATGGAGGTAACAAAATTATTTGCATCCTCTTCCGTTTTGATTTACAAAGACATGATATAGTCAGTCAGTAGCAGTTTTTTCACAATCCTTTTTACCATTTCACTGTGTGATGATCATTTTTAAATATTTCAAAAATATGAAGGCTATTATGCCCCACTGTAAATGTCTTAGCGTGACATTTTATGTCTTGTATTAAAGGTTGCATTTTCAGTAAAAATAACAGCAAAAAGAATAAACAACCACTATTGTGATAGCTTTCAGGTGTAGCATTTTTAGGGGTTGGCCTTTTATGCCTTGAAGCGATCTTTAGTATGCATTTATGACCAAAATGAAACAATGAAAAATATGTTTTGCATTTTAACTTATTAACAGAGGATTTATTTGATTTAAGTTATCTGTGTTTTGAATGTATTTATTAACAGACACGAGGCTGTATTTATACTGACATGATTTCATTTGCGCCATGTGAGGATGAGAAAAAAATCATAATTTGTATACTTTTGATCTGCACTGACAATATGTTGTTGGTTTAAACTTTGGGTTATTTTGTATGCTGAATGTCTTGATATTAAACCTTTTAATGTGGATATGCCTGTGTACATTTCCTTTATTCACCAAAGGTCAATACTGTCATTTTTAATTGTTTTAAACGTTAATCCTTATGAATTGATATACATTGCATGTCAGATCAAAACCTACACTATTGTTCATAGGTTTGGGGTTGGTAAGTTTAGCTACAATGCTAACACAGATGCAGAGCTATTTTGCTGGAATGGCATAAACTCTAAAGCAATATCTTCAATATTTCTCTGATTCACCTCTGAGAGTGGCTAGACAGATAAAAGAAATGCCTACAGTAAGCGAGACCCACAATTCACTAGAATCCAGAGAAAGCAACAATATGTGACCCTGGACCACAAAACCAGTCTTAAGTCTAAAGTATATTTGTAGCAATAGCCAAAAATACATTGTATGGGTCAAAATTATTGATTTTTCTTTTATGCCAAAAATCATTAGGATATTAAGTAAAGATCATGTTCCATCAAGATATCTTGTAAATTTCCTACTGTAAATATATTAAAACTTAATTTTTGATTAGTAATATATGCATTGCTAAGAACTTCATTTGGACAACTTTAAAGGCGATTTTCTCAATATTTAGATTTTTTTTTGCACCTTCAGATTCCAGATTTACAAATAGTTGTATCTCAGCCAAATATTGTCCTATCCTAACAAACCGTACATCAATGGAAATCTTATTTATTCAGCTTTGAGAAGGTGTATAAATCTCAATTTCGAAAAAATTTACCCTTATGACTGGTTTTGTGGTCCAGGGTCACATATACATATATTATCAGCAGGAAGGTTAACAAATAGAAACAAAACAGTCAAATCATATAACATATTTTAAATCATATAAAAGAACATATTTCATTAAACCACATATGTGCATATTGTACAAAGATTCACATTTCAGCAGAACTATGACACAAGCAGCAACTATGAAAGAATTCATTTGAATAAACAAGGCTGGAATGACCCAGATTTGAATCCAAATAAAAACCTGTATGACTTGAACATTGCAGTTCACAGACATTCTCCATAAAATTTCAGCTAATGTAGTGACGTTTGGAAGTTTAAATTAAGAAATAAATCAAAATTTCAAGGTGGGATAGTTTCTTAAAGGAGACGTTTGTATAAAAAAAAAAATATTTGCTGGAATATTTATTCTCCCATTGGCCATCCAAGATGTAGATGAGTTTGTTTCTTCATCAGAACAGATTTGGGCTTGCTCACCAGTGGATCTTCTGCAGTGAATGGGTGCCGTCAGAAAGAGAGTCCAAACTGCTGATAAAAATATCACAATAATCCACACGACTCCAGTCCATCAATTAAAGGGATAGTTCACCCAAAAATTAAAACTTGCTGTTAATTTTCTCACCCTCAGGCCATTCAAGATATAGGTGACCTTTTTTCTTCAGTAGTACAATAAAGAAGATTTTTAGCTGAAACCGTGGCCTTGGTGATTCATAAAAGTCAGTGGCTGCCCGTTTTTGAGAAAAAAAAAAAAAGAACACAAAATTAATACCCTTGGCTCCTGACGATATATTGAGGAGTTATGAAGTGAAATGATCAGTCTGTGCAAGAAACTGAACATTATTTACAACATTATTACCTGTAATCCATAGTCTCAGGCAAACGGTCTGGAGTGATGTCCGGTTAGTGAACGAATCATTCTTTTGAAACGGTTCTTTTTGGTAAACTAGCTGAGCCAGATTACCAAATCGGACAGAACTATCTGAGACAGTTCACGGCTCGAGCAGCACAAGTTCGTTTTAATGATGGCTTTATTACAGCTTTTCACAGACTGGAGTTATGTTGTGGATTATTGTGATGTTTTTATCAGCTGTTTGGACTCTCATTCTGACGGCACCCATTCACTGCAGAGGATCCACTGGTGAGTAAGTGATGTAATGCTAAATTTATCCAGATATGCTCCAGTGAGGAAACAAACTCATCTGTATCTTGGATAGCCTAAAAAAATCATTTTTTTGGGTGAACTATTCCTTTAAGAAGTTTATATAGGTAAATACTGCATTTGAAATGTCAAAATATTTGATCTGTCTCTCATCATATCAGGCCAAAATCGATGCCCATAATCTCAAATGAGCAAATAAGATTGCCCATAAAAGGAAGATCTGGGAATGTCTTAATTCTTAGAATCAAACATGGGCTATTTCAGCAGCCCGAAACCCCATCCACAAATAAGTTATTTTCCAATTGAGAATAAACTTATTTTTCTCTGGAAAATGCTGACTTACTCTGTCTGTGATACGTGGTAATACTGTAACTGTTCAGACACAGCTTGAACAACATCTTTCAGTATTTCAGGCCTATCTATCAAAACTTTGTCTTTATAAACACACCTCCACTCCTTAACAAATAAACCATTTGTCAAGACGCTTGTCCCTAATCCAGCTGCTCTTTGTATGTGTGCACACCTCCTGACAAACGCAACGTTAAAACGCATAAACGTTAGAAATAATATATTGTTCAACATGATGATACCACACAAAATGTTTAGTCCTGCCACTTTCAGCAACCTGCTAATGGTTAAAATCACATGTTGTCTCAGATTGTACAAATTCACACAAAATAGCACATTGTACAATACTTACACCTATTTATGAGCAACAAAAATAAGCGACAAACAATTTGAATTCTTTGAATGTTATGCTAATGAAGTATGATTTGTGTTTTCATGCTATATTTTGAGATTTTTGTTCGTTTATTTGTTTAAGTCCAGTGTTGAAAGAACTATAATGCTATTGAACGTTTTATTGGTAACTTTGAGATAACTTTGACTGAACCTGATCGAACATACAAAGAAGAGTAAACATTGGCCTTTATCCCATATATTTGTTGCAAATAGAGATTCAGCAATCATGGCTAATTTAGCATGCAGTGTCGCCTCAACATGTAGGCTACAATCAGAATACCTACTAAATCATTTTTTTCTGGGTGTGTGAAAGTAGGGGCTATATTGCTACATTGTCAGTCACTGAAAGGGCCTGTCAATCTTCAAGAATGTCTCAGAGTCGAGAGTCACCTAAAGAATAGTGCACCTGAAAAGGTCTGTCAGTGTTTGTGAGAAATGGCTGATTTTGAATGGAGTGTTGTCCACAGGGAGATCAAGAATATCTGTGAAAGGTCAAAACTGATTAAATATGTCTCGTACAGTGCAGAGAACAGTGTGTAGAGCTCACTGACTAGGTGTGACTATCAAAGTGTTAATTGGGTTACTCGAAGGTACTGAAATACTCAAATGCAATAGTAATAATAATAAAAAAATAGAATTTATTCTTGTTCCTCATTTTGTTTGTTTGTTAAACCCAGTTATGATGTGTCTGTTGCATTATTAAAAATTATGGTTTCTGACATACATCATATTTAAAGGAATTTACACCTATAACACCAGCCTCAATAATTCAGCTGTGTTATGGGATCAAGTACAATTGGAGAATAAAATATATAGCATTTAT